ATGGTGATTAAAGTATAATAGTTTAATAGTTTAATGATTTGTTCGGAAATATTTCCTAAAAGTTTATAGTAATTATCCAAAGAATTAAAGGGTAAAATGGTCATTAGACTTGAAAATTATAATTAAATGATATATATATATATGGATAAGGATGGGAGATTTTCCAGAAATCTCTTCTCTCTTTTCTTCTTCATTTTCTCTTCTCCACGTGTGAAGCCAAGCAAAGGTGAGTTTTCTCTTGAGCTGATTATGTGCTGAAATTTAAGTTTAGTTTTGATTATTAGATGCTAAGTAAGATTAAGGAAGGATTAATTTGCTTTAAAACAAAAAAATGAAGAGTTTATGAGGATTTAAAGATTTGGAGTTTTTGAATGAAATATCGAAATAAAGTTTATATTGAGAATTGAAAGTTGAATTTGACTTGTCATCAAGTTAATTAAGGGATAGGAAGTGTTAGAATAGGAATTTGAACATGTTGCAAAACTAGAATAATTTTTGCAATTACATAGGAATGACTAGATTTGAAGTTAAAGAAGTGATTATAGAATAGAAATAAGTTTAAGTATGTGTATTAAAGTTAGGAGTATTAAAGGAAGTGAAATAGGAAGGTTTGAGTTGAAAATTGATGATTTTCGAGCTTAGAATACAATTTCTGGGTAGAGGGAACCGATACCCTATGAATGGGAATCGATTCCCCCTCTTGAACGAAAAATTCCAGTATGTTCAGGGGGTATCGATTCCCCTGGGGGGGTATCGATTCCCCCCTAAATGAAAATATAGAATTTGATTCATTAAACCGGTTTAAGTTATTAACATCAAGTTTAAAGTTTAGGCTTCTGATAGTTGTTTTGAAATGATATATTTATGTAGATATTGAGCCTAAACAAGTTCCAGAATAATCAAAGGATTATAATCGAATCAAAGCAAGGCTAAGGTGAGTGCAATTTAAATTGTACTTATGTGTTTGATCAAACATTGGCTTGCGATGAGTCAATGATAGAGTTACTATGGTAAGAAGTAACTTATATAATGTTATGTGATTACTCTGTGTGCATTAGTACATAGAAATGGATGTATGTTTATATGTTACATGATTTACATGCTTACATGGAAATGCAGCATATGATATTAGATATATGTTTACACATACATGTGGTATGTGATAGAAGAGAAGAAACATGTGATTATGAGATCCATGATTACACGTACATGTGATACGTGACTGAAAAGATAAGATATGTGTTTATAAGAAAAAGAATATGAATAAGTAATGTGAACTGTTATAAATGATAATGCCCATGTTATGTGATATGAGAGCTAGGGGTATAGTTGGCATGCCAAGGGTCGAGGGTTTACCTATGTTCTTCGGGACATATGGACTGTTTACCTATGTTCTTCGGGACATATGGACTGTTTACCTATGTTCTTCGGGACATATGGACTGTTTACCTATGTTCTTCGGGACATATGGACTGATTACCTAGGTTCTTCGGAATCTATGGACTGGTCCTTCGGGACATTTATACGAGCTGTTGTGACAGCATAGTGGTGCACAACCTCAATGTACTCACATACCTTAAGTTCTCAAAAGTATACATGGTCCTTACAGAGAGTAGATAAATAAATTGATTTGCTACTATGTATGTTTTGTTGTGAAGTAGTATATGTGTTCCATGGTATGTAGAGAAATGTTCGATATATGTAGTTATACGATAAAAAGGTACTAAAAGTACTTGTATTATCTCATGTTATCAAGTATACTGAATTATATGCGACTCGATTGAATTCATAGATTGAATGTTTATATTTATGAGAAATGCATTATTATTATGTTTTTGCTTCACTAAGTCTATGACTTAGCGTGTAAGTGATTTACACGTAGGTACTGAGAAGCAGAAGGATCAAAGCTAAGTTCATAGTAACAACATATCTCTGCTCAAAGACCAGATCAGAAGTAAATTACACAGTATGTATTATTATGTGATAAATAGGTTGGCATGTAAATAAAGTAGGTAAATTAGGTATTTATGCTCTGATCGAGTTTTGTAATATTTTAAACATATTTATATAAGTACAAATGCAAAGAAATGAACTGTTAAGTTTTTACGAGTGTTATGTACAATTTACGAAAATCACTGTAGCAGGTTACTGTATTACTGTTCATATCGTATTTCACCGTTCATAAACACGTTTTTATCTAAAAATTTTATACCAAACATAATTGAATAATACATGATTGTATTTTCTTAATATAAATTCAAATGTTCAGTTATTTTACAAGAATAAAGGGTTTTAAAAATGTCAATGTGACATCTCGGACTCGTATCCAGGTCGGGTACGGGTTGGGGTGTTACACTCTGGCTCCCTGCGTTTGTTGTGGCGCAGTCTCGTCTCTGATCATTGTAATTTTGAACTTCTTTGGCTTCTTGTTTCCAGATTTTGTCCAATAATCAATCGCATTCAAGTATTCAGCCAAATGATCGCTCCATCTCTTTGTAATAATATCTCTCAAATCAGACAGTGGTATGTAATTCAACATGTTGTCATATACCATTGTCTTCAAGGATGGGAGCTGAAGCTCGACGAGAAGCCAATGACGATGTTCCAAAACAGGGATAAACACCTGCAATCATAAATAATTACGCACATCAAATAAAATTTATGAAAACCTTTAAAATATTCAAAAAATAAATACTAACATTATCGACCTCCCACCACGCAAGATAAAGTTTAGCTTTTCCATTAGCCAACTTATATGAAGCATCTCTCTGATCCTTCAAGTGAGCTGCGTGAAAAGACGTCGGCACAATAGTCCATCGAGTACCTATTTTCTTCAATTTCCTTATTATTAGAAGACGTGACACCCATGCATCAATGTTGTTTTATAAAAAAATAAATATACTAGTAATAACTTGTTTATATGGTATTATTTGTGTGTTAACTTACATCATTCATCGTCGTATATGGGAGTAACTCTTCCCAATCCAACATGCGGATCCTATTCCAGGTAATAACCTTAGGAATATCATTTGATCTTTTTATCGCATATGTCCGCATGCTGGGGAAAGCCTCAAATATCCAAATCTACAAACAATATAATACACAAACATTAGTAATTGTTAAATAATTAATTATAATTTTGGAAACATTATAATATAGAAATTCTTACCTTAAAGGCCCAAGTAAAGCCTGTCAAAGTGTATTTAGAACCATCACTCCCCAAACTTTTTCGGTCCTCAAAGGCAGACGACAACTTCTTCCAGGTAGCTTTTCATAGATATGAACCCCACGGAAACAAGTTCCAAGCATTTAGGTCCTCTACCAATAACATTAGGTCCTCGGAGATTGGTTGTCTTCCCTCTTTGCCTAAAAAGCCGACATGCAAAAGTAATAAATGGCATACTCGGACAACATCAAGGTCATTCATCTGAGTAAAACCATCTTTATCAAATAATATCTTCAAGTCGTCGACGTGTATACTCGGCTTCGACTTTGCCAGCTCAGGAAAAACCCGATATAACCATGATGGGCGGGCGATATGACTAGTGTACCGACCTACATCATCGTGTCCGAAGCGTAGACCGGTGATTAAGCAAAACTCCTCCCGCCCAAAACAAGTATATGTCGGTGCCGGAGGAAAATGAAACCATATCTCCTCATCACCACGTTGTACCCTCGGGTAGATCGTTAGTCATGGTCTGAAGAAACAAATGTGTCAACATAGCATCTCCACCTGTATGTTGCACTTTCAGCCATGGCCCGAAGCAAGTATCCTCTAACAATTTTCTTTGTAGAGGTATAAGCGTCGACGCAATTTTAGTGGCTAGGCTTAATTTATTCCTTAAGGTCAATGCAGCCGAAAAAAATTTCTACAAAAACAATAAACATACTAAGTTAGATATACCAAAAACTACAAATTATACACTATAAACAGACATGATATTAAACAGTGAAAACAAAGCCAAATATGTTTCAAACTAGCACGGTATTCACCCAAGTCATTATTCCATCATAGTTCACAAAATACATCAGATAACATTCCAGAAGTAAGCACTTATATAAACATTTAAAAGGACAACATATAGGTTTAGTGCAGGTTCAATGACAACATAAAGAGTAGTAGTTTATTCTTGAAACTTAAATTAGCAACACTGTAAAGTTAGTATTTGTCTTTATTTTTTTGTTGAAGTAATACAATTCATTCAAGTTTCAATTTGGCGAATAAAAGAAGTTTCTGAAACTTAAATTCGCAACGCGAAAATGAAAATCGCAACGCGATTTTAGTTTCGCGTTGTGAATTTGGTGTTGCGATTTAGGGTTTCTTCAACAAAAAGACAAAACAAAGACAAATACTAACTTAACATGGTTAAAGACTAAACAGTTTAACAGTATTGGCAGTAACCGAATGAATTTAACAATCTCAGTGAAATGGTTAATCTAATAATAATACAAAAATTTCAAAATAAAAATAAGAGATTAAAAAAACTAATCATCGGTGGTTGATTTTCCATTTCTGACCGTGAATGGTTGTGAGGGTTGATCTGAGAGATGGAGATAGATGGATTTCGTCAGAAATGGGGACGGATTTCGTCGGAGATGGGGACGGATTTCGTCGGAGATGGGGACGGATGTCGCCGTAGAGAGTGAGAGATGGAGATGGGACTGAGTTGTGCTTTAGGGTTTTAGGTTAGAGATGATTTGCGATAATACTGTTTACATTTGTGTTGCAAAATTAATATTGTGTTTCGCGTAAAAACATTTGACTTTCGCGTTGCGAATTTGACTATCGCGTTGCGAATTTGACTTCTGTGTTGCGATTTACGTTGCGAATTTGACTTTCGCTTTGCAATTTACATATTCACGTTGCGAAATTGGAAACTGGGTTGCGAAATTGGAATTCGCGTTGCGAATTTGTTGGTTATTTTGGCAAATCCAAAAAAATTGGTTAAATTCGTATATTATAAGGCATTTTTTATCACTGAGGTTATTTTCTCTTCTATATATGATAACCGATGTCTTCGCTACTTCAAAGGACATAAAGAGAGGTTGGTAATTCTTCACATATTAATGTTGTCATAATAGGTTGTGTTGACGAAAACGGGTAAAGAAAACGAAAGAACACGAGAATTTTACGAGGTTCGGCAATGTGCTTACGTCCTCGGTGCCTAGGCGGCGCTAGAAGTTTTATTCAATGATATTTTAGGTCTAGGTTACATCTCTATTTATAATAGAAAACCCTGGTACATAATTACAAAATCAACCCTGTACCGTACCGCGGGGGCTGCGCCCCCACACCCCCAACCCACATAATTCGTAACCCCACAACGAGACTTTTTATGAGCCATACATAACAAATCTCCACCTTGGCGAATATCCTGCCCCTTGGAAACTTCAATGTGGGTTGGGTTACCTTGCTTCTTTAACAACTCGAAACATTCAACAAGTCCAAGCAATGCTTGAACTTGTCTGTCGTAACTGGCTTGGTGAACATATCAGCGGCATTCTCATCAGTATGTACCTTCTGAAACAAAACCTCTCCAGATGCAACCAACTCTCTGATCTTGTGGAACCTTACATCAATATGTTTAGTTCTAGCACGATACACCTGATTCTTAGCCAAGTGAATAGCACTTTGATTATCACAAAGCAACTGAACTCCACCTTGTTGAACACCCAACTCCTTCACTAAACCAGTAAGCCATAAAGCTTCTTTTGCAGCTTCAGCCGCTGCCATGTATTCAGCTTCAGTTGTAGATAGTGCCACGACAGATTGAACAGTAGACTTCCAACAAATAGGCCCTCCACCAAGAGTAAACACATACCCTGTCGTAGATCTTCTATTATTCAAGTCACCTGCATAATCTGAATCCATATATCCTACAACCAAAGGATTATCCCGCTGACTCCCAAAAACAATTCCATGTCCCACAGTACCCTTTAAGTACCGAAAGATCCACTTGACTGCATCCCAATGTTGCTTACCAGGTTTAGACATGTACTTACAAACTTGACTAACAGCATGAGCTAAATCAGGACGAGTACATACCATCGCATACATCAAGCAGCCAACAGCATTAGAATACGGAACCTTTGCCATATTTTCAGCTTCCTTATATGTCTTAGGACACTGTTCTGATGAGAGCTTAAAGTGATTCGCCAATGGAGTGCTAACTGGTTTCGCGCTGCTCATCGCAAACCTTTCTAGCATTTTCTCAACATAACCCCGTTGAGATAGCCGCAGTTTCCTTGAGTCTCTGTCCCTGCAAATTTCCATTCCAAGAATTTTCTTTGCAGCACCTAAATCTTTCATATCAAATTCCTGACTCAATAAAGTTTTCAAACCGATAACATCATCCATGTTCTTCGCAGCAATCAACATATCATCAACATACAGTAATAGAAAAAATAAAAGAACCATCATCAAGGCTCTTAACATAGACACAACAATCATACTCACATCGGTTGTAGCCAATCTTGATCATATAGGAGTCAAACCGTTTATACCACTGTCTCGGAGACTGTTTCAACCCGTACAAAGATTTCTTCAATCTGCAAACTAAATGCTCGTTTCCAGGTTGAGTGAAACCTTCAGGTTGCCGCATGTAGATCTGCTCCTCTAAATCACCATGCAAAAAGCAGTTTTAACATCCATCTGCTCTAAATGCAAATCCCAACTAGCCACCAATGCAAGTACTGCTCGGATTGAAGTGTGCCTGACCACAGGAGAAAAGATTTCATCATAATCAACTCCTTTCTGCTGTGAAAAACCCTTCGCTACCAAACGAGCCTTGAACTTCTCCCCCTCTTTTTCTGTTACTACTGGTTTCTTCTTATACACCCATTTGCAACCAATCGGCTTCTTACCCTCAGGAAGGGGAACTAACTCCCATGTGCGATTGTGATTCAAAGACTCCATCTCCTCAACCATGGCTGCCATCCACTTGTCGTTTTCCTGACTAGTAACGGCATCATGAAAAGTAACTGGATCATCACTGCTAACAGTAAGTGCAAAAGATACCAAGTCTTCAAACCCAATCTGTTCGGAGGCTTTATATTCGTCCGTCTCACCCTGTCTCTGGCGAGACTATAATCCTGCAAATCATCCGTAGTGGAACCACCAGAAGTCGGTTGAGAAGTTTCTGGTTTCTCAACTGGAAACTGCTCGAAATCTACCACTGTCGTGTCTTGCTTCTGCTGCAACATATACTGTTCATCAAAAACGACATCTCTACTAATCACAACTTTCTTCGCAACTGGATCCCAGAACTTGAATCCTTTGACACCTTTCTTGTAACCCAGAAAAATGCACTCCTTCGATTTTGCATCAAGTTTGGATCTCTCATCAGCAGGTACATGCACATAAGCAGGACAACCAAAAATCCGTAAGTTATCAAAACTAACATCATGACCAGTCCATACCTCTTCTGCAACTTTCCCAGCCAGCGATGCCCTTGGCGATCTGTTGATAAGGTAACACGCCATGTTAACAGCCTCAACCCAGAAGTGTTTGGGAAGCCCCGCATTCAACCGCAAACATCTGGCTCTTTCATTCAACGACCTGTTCATTCGTTCCGCAACACCATTCTGTTGTGGTGTCTTGCGCACTGTAAAATGCCTCTGAATCCCATGCTCCTTACAGAATTGTAGGAACTATGAATCTGTGTACTCCGTACCATTGTCAGACCGCAAACACTTGATTTTTCGTCCTGTTTGGTTTTCTACCTCAGCTTTCCACAGCTTGAACTTCTCAAAAACTTCAGATTTCTGTTTCAAAAAATACACCCAAACTTTCCGTGAAAAATCATCAATAAAAGTAACATAGTACCTAGATCCACCCAAAGACGATGTCGTGGAAGGCCCCCATACATCAGAATGCACATAATCAAGAATCCCTTGAGTTGTGTGCTTCGCAGTCTTGAAACGGACTTTAGTCTGTTTACCAAGAACACAATACTTGCAAAAGTCGAGCTTACAGCTTTTGACACCATGCAACAAGTTTCTCTTGTGTAATTCTGCCATACCACGTTCACTAAGATGAGCAAGGCGCATATACCACAATTTTGTCGTATCATCACAGGACTCAACAGAGTGAACTCCACCTGCAACGGTACTCCCTAACAATCTGTAGATATTCCCTGCAGTCATCTTGCCTTTCATCACAGTCAATGCTCCTTTAACAATCCGAATGGTTTCCCTATCCTCGTCAGCCTTAGGGATAAAACCATTCTTGTGCAAAGTGCCCAAGGAAATCAAATTCTTCTTCAAGTCTGGGATATGTCGAACACCACTCAACATCCGAACGGAGCCATCGTGCATCTTAATTCTGACATCACCAATACCAACAATATTGCAACATCGATCATCACCCAAATAAACCGAACCAGAATTAACCGGCCTGTATGTCGAAAACCATTCCCTATTTGGCGTGATGTGATAAGAACATCCAGAATCAAGAATCCAAGCATCCGTCAATTGTGTCGTTGAAATAGAAAGCATATCACCCTCACTGCAATCAGAATTATCATCCTCGACCACGTTCACAGACTTGGATGAGCCATCACGCTTCTCATCAGTCTGCTTTTTCAACTTCGGACAGTCTCGCTTCATATGTCCCGCCTCCTTGCACTTGTAACAGTGAATCGTCTTCTTATCCCTGGATTTAGATCTGGAATTCCGCTTCCCGGACCCTGCCTTCTCTGGCTTCCGTCCACGATCTCGATTACCCTTGACATATAAGCTATCGGCTTGAGAGCTTTCCCCTGCATTCTGCTTCCGCTGGTTGTGAGCCAACAAGGCTGCAGTAATCTCCTCAACATTGATAGTCTCTTTCCCATATGTAAGAGTAGTCACCATGTGTTCGTAAGAGGAAGGTAACGAACACAACAGAATCATCGCTCTGTCTTCATCCTCAATTTTCACATCAAGCCGAGCCAGATCAGAAACGATTTGATTGAAGACATTCACGTGTTGCGCCAAATCGTGATCGTCCTGCATCTTCAGCCCATACAGCCGCTGCTTCAGATACAGTTTTGTCGTTAAGGATTTGGACATAAACTGACTTTCCAACTTCCTCCAAATTTCGTCTGGAGACGATAGATGCATGACGTGATACATGACCTCGTCCGCCAAGCATAATCGTATGGTTCCTGCCGCTCGCTGCTGCAATTCTTCCCAATCTTCCTCATCCATCGACGCCGGCTTTATAGGTCGCAAAGCCTTCAAGATCCCTTGCTGCGCCAATAGATCCTTCACCCTCGTTTGCCATAATCCGAAGTTACCCTGACCATCGAATTTCGCGACTTCGAATTTTGCTCCTGACATCTGATACCAATTGTTGACGAAAACGGGTAAAGAAAACGAAAGAACACGAGAATTTTACGAGGTTCGGCAATGTGCTTACGTCCTCGGTGCCTAGGCGGCGCTAGAAGTTTTATTCAATGATATTTTAGGTCTAGGTTACATCTCTATTTATAATAGAAAACCCTGGTACATAATTACAAAATCAACCCTGTACCGTACCGCGGGGGCTGCGCCCCCACACCCCCAACCCACATAATTCGTAACCCCACAACGAGACTTTTTATGAGCCATACATAACAGGTTGAAAAAGAGATCTGGTTCGCATGTGATTTGTATTTAATTCAAGCAATCAGTTATGGAATATAAGAGTCACATGACTGCCCATGTTTAATCATTAATGTTGCTTTTATTCAATATTTCAATGAAGGTTTTTACGTTAACTTCATGCAGAGTGTTTTTGAAATCTGTGTACATATCCATATATTCACCTGCATCACTTGTTTGTAGAGTTGTTTGAAAACTATGAAAACAGAAAACCTTTGGTTCTTAATGTGTCCTTGAATTCTCTGCCCTTCCTCAACCAGCCTTTTCTATTATTGATTTTCCAACAGTATTATTGTAATGAGTTTCCCTGGATCTGCTGCTGCAGAGTTGTTTCCCTCTGCATGGCTCCGGTGAAGGATAGCTTCATGTCAGGCTCTCTTGACCACAGTGTGAGGATTTGGGATCTCCGTGTAAATGCCTGTCAGGTTGGTTTCCGGTTTCCTTTGAATATTTTTGTTGTTGTTGCAAATGTTGGGTACTAAGAAGTGATTTATAAATTATGAAGATAAATTTCTTCCTTTAAGAAACAGACGTGCTTAATTGGGAGAAATGTTCTTCCTCCTTAGTCCATTCCCAAAAAGGCACAAACAAGGCAGACTGAGGGAAATTCAGTCTAAAAATGAACAATCATCGTTATCCAACTGTTTTGCTATACTATTGGTTTTGTGTTATCAATCCGCATTTCTTCATCTAATCTTACACAAATGTTATTTATGCTTACTCTTGTAGTTTTCAGGGAATTTTACACCTACGTGGTAGACCTACTGTTGCACATGACCAGCAAGGCCTTGTATTTGCTGTGGCTATGGAAGGAGGAGCTATTAAATTGTTTGATTCACGCTCCTACGACAAGGTTTTAAGTTTTAACCCATTAAGCACTTGCAAGTGTTCTGGTATATCTGTATCATGAGTTTGCCTTATTTCCTTCCTTTTGGGGATTATAATTTTGACAAGTTCGATTTATTTCTTCTAATATAGGGGTCCTTCGATACATTTTTAGTCGGCGGAGACACAGCTGAGGTTTGCGATATCAAATTCAGCAACGATGGCAAATCAGTGCTATTGACAACCACGAATAACAACATTTACGTTCTTGATGCATATGGAGGAGAGAAGGTTAGTTACCCTACTTAAACCAGTTCTACACCAGAAGTTGTTTGCTGAAAGGCCCCAGCTCACCTTTTTCTTTAGATTTGGTTTCTATCTTATACAATGTCTTGATTTAGTACTTAGATGCAAAACTTGTGCAGCAATGTTGGTTCAGTTTAGAACCGTCTCCCAATACAACTATAGAGGCAACCATTACTCCGGATGGTCAGTATGTGATCTCAGGTACCAATTCCACCTCGTTGCACCTCGAGAAGAATATATGCATTTGTGATTATGTTTGACATTAAGTTTACATTGAATAATCACGTGAAAAAACTAGAATGAAACTGAGCATGTTTCTCTGTACAGAGATACAAATTGTTGATCAGCTTTTCTTTATAGTTTGTTTGGAAACATCGTAATTTAGCTCAATTTTCACCAACTGAAGGGTCAATTTGTATACTTTTATCTTATGTACTTTATACACACACACATATATCTCATTTAAGTTCCTTTATAATAGAGTTTGTATCAATTTAGTCTCTCTACTATTAAGTGAATCAATTTTTCTTTCTATTGTAAAGATTGGTTCAAATTAATCCTCTACTATTAAGTGGATCACATTTTTACAGATATAAAATGACATTAAGGTTGGATACACGAGTCAACGTTTAAGTAATAGAGAAACAGAGCAAGTAGTGCTATATAATTCGGGTAAATAACAGAGTATGTAAGTACCAACAGGATGCACAGAGCGTAAACAGAGGTGCGCAAGGCATCGGAAGAGACGCGTTAAGACTCTACGACATGTCCACTATACCTAACAGGTCTCATGTTGTAAAAAGCTAAGTGTAGCAGAATGCTAATTTTACATAATGCAGGGCACCATCATATATCAGAGTTGTACAGAGTATATCAAGATTGAGAATAGCATATCAAACTATGACAAGATACAAAATTATATTTTTAACAGAGCAATGTAGAGTTATTGAATTACACAAATAAAACATGAATTTTTTACAATGGAATAGTTAATATATAACATACAAATAAAGTAATTAAAGTGTATAACTAAAATGTACTTTGTGAAATTAAAATAAATAAAATCGTCAGCATACTAAACAATTACTCATATATTATATAGCAAAATGTATTCCAAACTCAATACAAGAAAAACAAGAACAAAAACAAGCCCTAAGAGGCCTCACATACTGGAATATGAGATCATAACCCATCTGGTAAAAGCATTAAAAATAAGTTTTTGTTATGAATGCAACAACAGCACAAATTCCGACAAATATTCCCAGCAGCAAGGAAGCTTGTATCAAGTGGATTGCTCATTTGAGACCTGCTTCTCATTTTTCTGCCAATCAAAGTCAAATTCAAATCTCAGTTTATAGACCTTTGAATCTGCACAACATCATAACAATGCTTGTCTAGCACTGATGCAAATCAAACAAGGATTATCACTAATGGCGTGCAATCATTCACAAGTAATAAATTGTTAAGACCAATTCAGACAGAACTGAAACTTAGAACTGATAACAGACAGAAGGGAACGCATCCTATGTTGGTAAGTGCCGTCAATGATTTACGAGGCAATGTACCATAGGACAGAAAACCATGTATCAGATTTATGGTACCAGCAAAACTTTCACTCCCTTATAAAACCTTCACCCTTTCTTTCTAATTAACCATTTTTTAAGGTAAGGGTTCTAGTTACTTGAGCTAATGTGACTAAAGACAACCAACAATGATAGAATAAAGATGACAAAACTCAAGTTGGAAACAAAAAATTAGAATTATAATTGCAACAAGTTTACACACACTTATACATGCATAAACCCGTACATGCACAGATGAAAAAACTTTTAATTAGGTTAATTTATAAAAGAAAGAATCAAAGAAAAACTCAAGTGAATGAACTCCTTTTGTTCCCTAATTCCAACTAAAGCTTCCACATGTTTCACAAACCATAAAAAATAAATACTTCAAAACTTTCTTTAATTCCGGGAAATCAAGATTGTAATCTGACGTTAGTATTGTTTTCAATCATAATTAGGAAGCTACTAAAATAAATTGGTGTGTCACTGCGAGCACCGCTCAAGATCTTGCAGAAATTGTTTCAGATGAAGTAGCAGTAAATAACCTTAAGTTCCAAACCATGTAGCAGCAGACTAATTTCACCCCCAAAAGGACCCAAAGACTCCCAGTGGCATTATGTGATGGCATATGAAGATTTAACTTGGCATCAAGTAACAAAAACTTTGGGGGAATTTCAGAGATGTGTATATAGATTGGAAGGCAAAAGCATGTTATTTTGCACCCTTTTTCTTTTCATTTTCCAGAAGGCATTTATTAGAATGAATATTAAGTGGGAACAACTCAAATAAAAGGTAAAGCACCTAAACAGCAATAATATTGTTTTACATATTAATACTAGTTCCTACAACAAAGAGAAAGAAATATAACCTAATCAGATCAAATTCTTCAGGAGAATTTTCATAAAAGCAGTGTTTTTTAAGGTGACATTAGTGATTTTAAGAAGAAAGCAAATTCGAAATACAAAGGCCATCCATCCTAATGAACGTAAAGCAGCAGCGAAGAAAAATATTACTACGATAAACAATGAGCTAATGCTACATCCTACAAAACATGCTCCATGAATTTCGCATGAAATTTTCCAGTGAACCATTCATTCAAAGTCAAAGCATAAAAATGATGATAACCCAATATCAAAATAGTAATGAAAAAAATGGGGTTTGTTGAAATGATCAGATACAAACACAAAAAAGTGGGTGAAGTAGAAGAGATTACGGATTGAGAGTTGTGCCAGGCGAGGCCTCGGTAAACATTAACAGAGAAAGTGGCGGTCAGATAAATGGTAGCTAACCCTAGACCAGCTGTGAGGCCTTTGAACGCCCAATCTCCGGCTTTGCTTCCCAATCCCATCTTCTTCTCTCTCTTTCAACTCCCTAATTCGGCGTCGGAGGTTGCGTACTCTGCCCTCTGCTCAACTTCAATTAAACCTCAAAACACGGAGGTGGGTAGCCGATCCGACGTGGGTAGCCGATCCGATTTGAGGTGTCATATTAAAATCACTTAAACGACTACCATAAAAATATCAAAAAATTAAAATTTTTATTAAAATATTTAAAATCATAAAATCATTTATGAATACAAAAGTAAAATTTATCAGTATTCATAAATAAAATAAATTTTAGACTCATATGTAAAATAAATTACAACTTATATTCCTGCTAATTATATGCACCGTACTCCGTAAGCAACGTCGGATAAACTCCCTTACTAATGTCAATAGCTGCACATGTTTGATACTTTTAACCTGAAATAGTAAGTCAAAGAGTGAGCTTTGGGAAGCTCAGTAATACAATACTACCAGTTAATGCTACACGACATGCAGATAAATGGAAAACCATAAAATTTCTTTATTTAAAACAGACATATACAGGTTTTTGGGATAAGCTGGGGTTCCAATGGTAGTTCATCGAGTAAAAGCCATAAACGTCTCAGTTCATAGGAAACATTCATGGTATCAAGTTTTTAGAAGATCGAATATGATGTCTAGTGTGTTCCAACCAAAACCAGTGAAAATATATAAATCTTTTTAAAACTTTAATTATTTACAACATATTGTCAAAACCATAGTAGAACTCACCAACCGAACACCGTTATGCAGTTTCTCAGAACTGCATCCATAAAGGCTTACCCTAAAAACACAATAAAAGGAGTCAACCTAAGGGAATACCTTAGGATTTATGGGCCTACCCAAGGGTATCCTTTGGTCTGTAAGGATTTACCAGATGGATCAGGGCTGAACCTCCATACTCTAGAATCCTACCATATAAAAATCCAATAGAAATCAATTTTAACCGTAAACCGTAATATCTGGATCGTGATCCAGTAAAATCTCGTAAACATGACAATGAAATAAACCATATAAATTTCCTCCACTCGTACACCATATATATTTCCATGATTAACCCAAGGGAATGCCTTGGGATCTGAGAGCCTACCCAAGGGTCACCTTAGGTCCGTAAGGATTTACCAGTTTGATCAGAGTTGTACCTCCATACTCCAGCCCACCCAGGTAATGTCCCAATAAAACAGTTCGTGTATAACTAGTGAAGACATGAAAGTTCATAAACCAGTAAATTCCATGATTCCATAAATCAGGAACAATTCATATTTTTCAGTGAAAACCGTAATCGAAGAACACATACCATATTATCATGGTTCATAAACCAATAAATCAATAATTTCATTAAAACTTATTTTAAAACATATAAAACCATCATGTAGTACATGTGGAACACACTAGAGGATCCAAATATTTTTCAGAAGCACTTAATAGTTATTAGGAAAACATGAAATTTATTTAATTTGATCGGATTTCAGGAACGAGATCCTATTAAAAGGAATCGATTACTAATGGAACTAATCAGACATTTAACGTTGATACTTTAGAATCCCGCTATAATTCATGTCCATCAGGAAGTTGTTCAGGAACCTTTATACAGAATAATTATAGATTCAGGTTTACTGAGAGTGATTACATTACTCAACAATCAGAGGTATTCATGATTATGAATTGAATTATCGGGATTTTAAGTCCAATTGAACCAAAAGGGGTATTCAGGATCCTTTGAATCTGAGTTACTTGTGTTTTCATATATGACCGAAGTGATTTGAGCTGATAAGAGAAAAACGAAGATTCATGACATTTACAATCTATGTCGATCTATCGGATTATCGAAATAACTTGAGCTGAACAATTCTCAGAACTAATGCATGTCAACTGGTCAATTCATTGCCCTTCCAGGGTATTCACTCTTTAATACCAACAATTATTGTCCATATATCATCTTCAGGATCATCACTGAATAGATCTTAAGGAGATGAACATATATTCCAATGGTCTTTATTTCATTTTCGCATTGCAACAATATCAGGAATTGTCGATGTACTTAATTCGTAGTTTATAACCCATAGGGATAATACATCATGTAAGTTTATCACTCATACTCATCCAAATCACTTACTTAATCCTCAGTCATTAAGGTTACTTAGTTCATTTAGTAGTTAAGTCTATCCAGGTCACTTCAGAGTTTTCCAGAGTAATTCGAACGTTTTTGAATTTCGGATACATATTGTATTTCCGTTCATTTCAATTTGGTCATATAATAAAGTCATTTTGGTATTCAAGGTT